CCACTAGACACAGGCCTCCAAATAGACTCTGCTCCATTGACTACAACTCTATGGCTTCTTCCCATCAGCCAGTTCACAGTCCACCTCACTACCTGATCATCCAGTCCACACTTCCCCAATTTAGCAGCGAGGATGCTGTGAGAGACCGTGTCGAATCCCTTACTGAAATCAAGATAGACAACATGCAAAAATCTGCAACTGCTTATTTGGGCATAGCTCTTGGACAGCCAATATTCAGAGATGTATGTCTCTCCAATCACACCACATCCTCATGAAGAGGAATGAACATTACATGGGTGAACTGTGCATTAGTGAGAAACACATGTTGAAAAAGAGATCCAAGTTTTACATACATTATCATGGCCAAGTACTGGAAGATACTAGACATCATTAACTCTTAAGGGAAATAATACATAAGCACTTCAGAAGAGACTTGGTATCACACTGTGTCTTTCCCCTCCTAATCATATTTTCAATACTTCACAGCCTCAGTTTCTATAGTGCAGCTGCATCAAAGGCTGAAGTTGGGTTAAGACTAACGTAGGAGAATCAGGAAGGATTTGAGCAACACATGAGAAGAACTCTTGATCTTGCAAAAGGTATGCTTTCTGGAGAACAGGGTTGGAAGTCAGAGCCAAAACAATGGCAAGGGTAGGTGGGGAAGTTACACTACAGATGAGGCTAAGTTTAAACTAGCACACAAGCACAGAATCTTGATTTTAAAGCCACTTTCTCTTCAGTTACTAACATCAAATTAAATGCACAACCTGATCTACTTTTTCCCCCCAACATGTGAAGAAAGGTAAGAAACTGACAGCAGGGGAACAGACAATGCTTACACACACAGGACACAGGCATTGGGAACCTTACCTGACGATGAATTCCCAACAACTATGGTCTCTACTTTGACTTCAGTTACTGCCAACATAACAGTGCTGTTTTGCCGCTTGGTGATTGCATTTACTATTGTATTAGCAGCATTCTGTATGAGACTATTATCTTGTTCATCTCGATGTGGGACAAAAGACTAAAGTGGAGGGAAGAGGAAAAACAGTTACTGCAATTATTTACCTGTGGAAATCTACTTTTTAGGTCCAGCTACATCTTAATAGAGTTCACTAGGTTGAATTTACCTGACAGTGGTTACAAGCAGTACCCTAAAAGTTTACTGTAGCAATAGCATGGCTGGCTCTATCCAAACTTCAGATGCAGTATCAGACTTGGTAAGTAACGTGCCTACTTGCTAATCTAGCACATCTCAAAAAAAAAAAAAAAAGGGGGGGGGGGGGGGGGCAGCTGACTTCCATGTTACTTACACTGCTGAGCTAAACTTAGTCATAGTTTGGAGCACTTCAAGACATGTGGGTTATCTAGATAGAAGCTTGGACTAACAACAGTCTGCTCTATTTATACCATATACTTTGCTTCCTGCATCATGGCTCAGCACGTTCTTTACAGCAGTGGTAGAGACAGTCCAGCTTCTGCCTGAAGACACTCTTTGCTATGAAAACTAACTCTTTAATTGGAAACTAAGCAATACACAGGCATTGAATGATTGGGCTGTAAATGCCTCTAAAGCAAGTCTTTAGCTCAGTAGGGCAACAATTACTTTCACCTACTCAACTCACACCTTCTTCCACTTCCCGCTTAGCACTTACATATTTAATGAGTAGTCCTACTCTAAACGCAGAGTAGAAACTTCTTTACAAGGTCCAATCCAGCCACCTGCAACCGTATCTCCCGAGAAGTTCAACAGCCCAAGATTTCTGACAGAACAGGTTGTTACCCATTCACTAATTTGGGCCGAATTAGGTTTTTTGACCTATCCTTTTTTTAGGATATTGCAGTAAGCCTTCTGCCATAACAAAACTTGCTGTTTCAGCTATCTAGCATTGTAGAAAATTGTGAGATCACAAAAATCACTTTGCAGTCAGACTAAGCCACAGGTTGCAGTATCTGCACTAAACTGAAACAAGCTTAAACAACCTCTTCCCCAACTTAAACTAATAAGAAAACATTTTCCTATGCACATTAATACAAGTCTCATACTTACAATAGCAACTTCCACTGCATTCTCTGTGGAGTAAGACAGATCACATAAAATTATCAGAGTTCTGTCCCTAGAAACAGTCCTAGTAGCTGGTAAATACCGAATTTCAGAACAGATATTTTCAGTTGTAGTGCCCTGTTAGAAGCAAGGGAGATTGTATGACTTTAGTTCAAGTAAAAAATAGCACATAAAAATAAACATTTCCAGAGTTTTTGCAGTTACTGATGAAGGCAGCAGAAAGGGCAGCAAGAAACGGCAGAAAAATGAAGAACAGGATTTTGAAAGGAAGAGTGAGAAAGTGAGCTTGCATGACTATCGTTGTACAGTTTGAGCCCTTGTTGAAATGTAAGAAAATTTAGTTGAGATGTAAGAGAACAAAATATTCAGTTCAAACCCTAAATTTGCCTCACCCTTTAGACAAAGCACAATAGCAACAGAGGAGTCTAATAATAAATTTTGCAAGCTTATGACAACAAGGAGTCCTATTGAAAACATGAATCTTCCATGCTCTGACATGGAATGCATCCTTACACATATTGCCATACTTCATTAATAATTCTGTTCTCACCTGGGGGACTTTGTCTCCATTAAAAATTAAAGTAATTCTAGCACAGTCATTGTCCAAATATCCAGAATTAGGCAGACACTTGATATTGGCAGGCAGAGGTTCATAGGCACTGCATTCTCCCCAGTCTGTGCACGGTGGCTGAAAACATTTCATATACTTCTCCTGGCATTGTTGACCCACAGGACACTGGTTATTTGAATTATCCCAGTGTTTGTGTAACAGACAAGGTTTTTTCCCACACCACACCTAGAAATTAAAAAGAACAAAGTACTGTTACAGTTAATTGCTTTTATGCATCAAATAAAAATAAGCAATTCACATAAGATAGTCACGATCTACTACGGACTGCTAAGAAATATGTATTTCAATAGTGCTGTAGTTCTAGTAGCAGACAGAGTTGCTCTTCCACAAACCAAGGATGTTTCGTATGGTCCAAAGAGTAAAAACTGTGCAAAGATTACCAGAGACACCAGCAAGTGGGTATATTTCCTTAGTGACTTAAGTATTTGTCCCACCAATACAGAAGTTCATTTATTTTACACTAGTCATCTAGGCTTCTATAATCAGAAAGAGAAATACCTCCACAAGGATTAATTTATCTTCAGTGTTTGTACCAAGATCCTTGCCACAAAATGCTGAAGATGTTAAGAGTTGATGCATACTGATGATAAGCACTGTAACTTCAACTGCTCTCCCAAAAGAAAATAGTATGCTGGTACCCCAAGTTACCGAGATGCAGCAAGCTTCCAAACACAGCTCCATTTCACAATGTAACCTTTAAGATTATATATAATGCTACACAGCTATTAGTTTAGGAATTTATGGATTTCTTAAACCACAATTGTCAGCAAGAAAGCATATTTGTTCCATTACATGTGGAAAAAGACCCCAACAATCACCATATATGGTTAAGTTGCATTTACCACACTACCATTTCTGAGATTCTAGTTACCTTATGTACTGTAGTCTTCTGAAGACACCACAAACTTGAAGTCACAACACCATAAAGGGTCTAAAATAGCATTTCTAAATGACTAAGTTATTTCTTTGCCTACAGTGCATACCTAGCTAAACAAAGTAAGGTTAAGGATGGATAGATTAATAAGAGCCAGAAGCTTTTAAACTGGTGCTTCCAGTGAAACATGGGAGATTGCCATGTGAGGCAATGTTTTAAGTGCTATTAGCGTTCATCTGGAGTCACCTACCCAGCCCTGCAACTGGTAAGCAGCACCAATCTTGTCCCTCTCCAGCTGTGATGTAAAGCTGCACAGGTGCCACAAATCCACTGAGAAATGCTGTCTCAGGAGGGCCGAGAGGCTTGGAGCACATATACTTACATGTTCAAACTGCATTTAGGCTTGTCTTATTTACTCTAAGTCACAACCCCCAGGATACAATCCTGGTACAAAGGTTGCAATTTGTCTATTTATAAACCTACTGAAGGACAATACAAAAAGGTGATTATTACCCACTGAAGAAACTTATCTTCCTATGTGTCTTTTTACCTTGGAACTAACGTTTCACAAAATTAGGAGCTCTAAAACTGCATTTTCAAAGCTTTTGTGGAGTCATTTATTTAACCTTTCAAAGATCACTACTCCATTGTAGTTCATATTTCCTTTTCTGCAAAAAGTGCCCATCTGCTTTTTGACACCTTGTTCTAGCAGGTAGAGAGCAGGACAGCAGCTTATGGTTATGAAGACAATCCCATAAGTATTTTTTACAGGAAGTCATTAGAGATCTTTTGTTGTTGTTGTTTAAACAAAGGCAGTTTGGGGGACACCTATGTAAGAGTCTAGATGAAAAAAACTCCAAATATTAACTTGTGCATGAAGAACAATTAAGTTTGTTTCAGCCAGAAGGATTTAAGAAAATAGGTCAAAATGCCTACCTTGGTGCAGTCAATACGGCCATCCAAACAGTGGCAGTTGTTACATTCTTGATCCCATCTGCTGCCGTGGGGAAAGGTCATCCCTTTAAGCCAGCAAGGCTTTCCAATTCCAATCACTAAGAAGAAAGCCACACTCAGATATTTCACCTCTTGCAGTTACTGAAGCTATACAAATTTAAATAAAAAAACCCAGCTACTGTTCCTTACACATCAGACTACTGTATTTAAACTCTATACTGGCTACACTGTACCCTACTGTTTTTTGGGTAAAGGCTGATAGCAGATATAGGAATACCTTCTTGGCACCTAGGACCAATTCTTCCAGGGGGACAAGAGCATCGGTATCCGTTTATTTCATCTATACAAGTGGCACCATATCCACAAGGGGAAGACTGGCACTCATCAATATCTAGGTAGAAAATGGGTAAAACTCAATGACAAGGACATACAACGTTGCAATTAAACATTTACTGAGATGTAATCTGACAATACCTGCTTTCTTAACAAGCAAACGACAGTTTGGTTTCAGGATTAATCTCTTAACTGGATTCTTCTACCATTTCAGCAGTAACCTCTAACAGATTTCTCATAATTGCACCCTAATTGAAGTTCTGGTGATCAAAGAAGCAGTCATATGCTGACTCATCTCAGAGCAGAGGTGTTAGACAGCTGAAGGTGTAATGTCTTCTCCATATTCAGCTATAGAACTGAAGTCACATATCCTGTTCTGGTGCTAAACTTGGACATTTAGGCTTCCTAGAAAAGCACGTGTTTTCAGGAAGTTATCACAGTGCAAGAGCTGAACAATGAATTGGCTCAACTGTGCTCAAAAGAAGTGACTTACTGCAATACAATACACCATAAGGAAGAAGAGTAATAGTTTAGTTTGTAATAGACATTTGATGAGACTTTTCTTAATAAACTTGAAATAGCAAGTAGATTAATTTTGTACACACACACTGAGCACAAAAGCCTCTTTTAAAAAAAACCAAAACAAACCAAACAAGCCTGATTCAGAGGCTTAGCCATAGGAATCTACTGAAAAAGGCAGGGAAGCACAGTCCATTCAGATGCTCTCCCTTCCTTTCAGTTTCTGTCTTTCAGGATAATTACAGTGTAACAGGTTTGTTTTATCGCTTTGAAAGACCTTTATTGTACTTCTCCATGTTATTCACATACCAGCACTACACTCCTGATGTTTTTGTTTTCATTTGTGATATCTCAGTGGATTTCAGTTTCTAATGTTAAATGGAAGACTTAGTGACAAATGTCATCTTTATCAGCAAGTTGCTTATGAAGAAAAACACTTAAAACTTAATAAGCTTCTATGAAGCCAGCACCCCAGAATCTTCAGAAATATCTGGTGAAGGGGAAGCGGGTTTAAACTGAAAGAGGGGAGGTTTAGATCAGATATTAGGAAGAAGTTCTTCACTGTGAGGGTGGTCAGACACTGGAACAGGTTGCCCAAGGAAGTTGTGGATGCCCCCTCCCTGGAAGTGTTGAAGGCCAGGCTGGATGAGGCTTTGAGCAACCTGGTCTAGTGGAAGGTGTCCCTGCTGATGGCAGGGGGATTGGAACTAGATGATCTTTAAGGTCCCTTCCAATCCAAACCATTCTATGATTCTATGATCCAGCAACCAAGTCTTTGACTATAAGTTTAGGCCAAATAATTTCAGTTCCATTTAACAAAAAGTAGAAAGGAACATAAATTGCCATTATTCCCTTCCAATCCAAACCATTCTATGATCCAGCAATCAAGTCTTTGACTATAAGTTTAGGCCAAATCATTTCAGTTCCATTTAACAGAAAGAAGAAAGGAACATAAATTGCCATTTTTTACAAGGTATCAGTACTTGGCTGACTGACTGGTGGCTTCTGCTTCATTATTTGTAATTCAGCTAACCTAATGCAAAAGGGTCACAGGGTGTTCTTTATGAACTGCGTGTCAGAATAGTACAACCTTTCAGGTCTTTAGCCGAAAAGGTACTTACTAATTCTGCAGTCAGGACCAGCAAACCCAGGCGCGCATTCACATCGAAACCAATTCACACCATCGACGCAGATGCCTCCATTGTAACTGTAAAAATAATAAACCTATCATTACACCAAGCATTCTCAGGGTAGATTCACTAGTCTAAAGATCAGCAAAAACCATAGGTCTCAGGCAGTATGTTCAAATGCAAATTTCTGTTGTCCCTATTCATAGTACTTTCTTGCTATTTAACAATGCAGAATTAAAAAGTCCTGCTAACTCATAATACAAGTCCACTTAATAAGCCATCTATATTGTTTCAGTGGTCTCTCATTAAAACTTTGTTAATTAAACCTTCTGCTGCTGTTTATAGGGACGATCTATTCCCATCAATGTTACATAAACAATATTGCTTAATAAGTCACCTGTTACAACAGTAACATCCTACAAAAGTGAGTGCATGCACGGGGAAGAATATCAACAGGGCTCAAGGAGATAAAACAGCTGTAAAGTGAACATGGAGAAAGCCCGAGCTTTTGCAATGTTGTTGGGTTTTTTTTTTGTTTTGTTGGTTTTTTTTTAACTACAAGAAGTACAGGCTATTGCATCAGAATGGATAGAGAAAGATAAGGTAGATAGTTTGCTTCATCCAGTATTTTTCCCTTTCAACCATAAATATCAACCTCTATTTAAAATACTCCCATTGATTCTTTAAAAAAATAATTATTTTTTTAAAGACATTTATACACAGTATTTGATCTAACAGGACATTTTTATATTATCTAAAATTATTTACTGTAAACTAACAAGTTTTCTCTTTTTTATTCTAAAGCTCAAGTGTAAATGCTTGAAATCTTCTCAAGCCTGATTCATTTCATATCAGAGTAATTACTAGTCAGTCCTGGCACAAAGACTGCACAAACACTTCTATCTGTTCATATAGGAATCAGCTCAGGATTTTTTTGTGGTCTTTGTTGCTGTCAAGGAACAGATAAGTCATGGCAAAAATTGTTAGAGGCTCACTTCAATTATTTTAGGTTATAATTAATTCTAATCTGGAATGGAAATCCCTATTACTGCGCTCACTTTTGTTTTCACAATAGGTATAGAACTGGAGTTCACATACTTACCATGGATGAGGGTTGCAGTCATTGGTATCTATAAAAAAGAATACAGATTAGTGTAACCAGTGGTATATTTATTTTCTAATGTATATTATAGTTCAAGAGACACTATATTTGATAAGGAAAGCAAAGAAAAATAAGACAGAATTGAATGTTTTCTTCCACACTTAGACCTGAGAGACCAATTAAATACCTTAAATTTTATGAGTAGACTGACAAATGCAAAATTTTACAGCTTCGGTGAATTTTGATATGTCAACAGCACAGACTGACACACAGCATGACTGCAACATAACAGAAATAAAGGGCATTGGCTGCATTGGCAGTGGATAATTCAACCAGGTTCTAAGAGCCTTCGAAAGGATTACTACTGCTTTGGCAGTTCATACGTATACATGCAACTAGCCAGACTTCTTAAACAAATCTTTCCCATTATAAACAGCTCCGAATTTGTTAGCATTTATACTGGCTGTCAGCTTTAAAACAGCTAATTAGAGTGTACATCAGTACAACAGTAATTTCACAGTAGATTTAGAGTAAAAACAGAGCTCAAATTCTGATTTTTTTTTTCTCCTCTGTGATATGCTTTGGAAAAAAAAAACAAATCAAAGTTGCAGGTTTTACTCCACCTAACCAATTCATTGCATCGGTATGTCAAAGTAGTTAGCTGCTATCCTAAAAGAAAATGATGGAACATACACTATTGCCTGCCTTTCCACATGCTTTTCATTATTAAAATTAGTATTTCTGCAAGGATTTTGTTTGCTCAGCACATGTTAGAAAAAGCAATTTCTACAGATGGTGAGAGTCTTATTTTGGTAGAGACTATGTGCAAAAAGAAGCATGACAAGTTCTTCATTCATTACTCGAGCATCATCTTTACCTACCTCCCACCCTGAATGATTCAGATATTTTGGCACATGAACTCTCTAAACTTGCTTTGTTTCAGTTAACAGCTCTGTGCCAAACACTCCTAATATCCCAGAGGAATGCTAAGGAAGAAAGGAAAAAAGCCTTACTCTGTGTGCATGTACGTCCTTCCCATCCTTCTTTGCAGATGCAAGAAAAGGAATCTCCACTGCCAACACATGTTCCACCATTCATGCAAGGGTTTGGAATACAGCTGCTGTTTTTAGCTTTGGAAAAAGAAAAAGTCTCCATTTAGTGTGGAAAACAAAAACTATCATCTGGATATGTCAGTATCACAATCCTGAATAGCATTTAAGTCAACAGTGCAAGACTTACAAGAAAGTAAAAAAACCTCCAAAAATAGTCACACCACACAATCTCTTGCCTACCTTCACCATCATCCCAATTCCATTGTTTGAACAATTAAGTTTTATTAAAAAAGATTATCTGTTTTTTCCCCCATCTGTGTAAACACCCTTAAAATACTGCTAAATTCCTACTTTGGCAGCAAGTTACTCAGATCATAAAGTTTACTTCAGAATAAAATACTAGTATTTAAAGTTCACATTTTAATTAAGTGCCACAATTGTACCTAAAATGTAGAAAAAACTATACTAAATTACTTTCGTCCTAGTTCTTGGTGCTAATGGAAGTTTCATATTCAGAAAAACGTACCATGGAGACTACATTAAATCCCCAAAAAGATCAAGAATAGTTCACTATGGCAGCAGTAACCCTGCAAATCCCCCAGGAAGAACAACTTAATTTCATTTTTCTGAGCACGTCTGCTCATATGCCTCTTGATCACAAGCTTATTCGTGTTATGAACCTTCAAGCAAAGCAGGGGACTGAGTTCCTGAGAAAACCTTTACACAGGGTCTCTAAAGACTAACAGAGAAGTCAAGACACAAGACCAAGTGTTCTAAATCTGTTCAGGAGAAGCTATGTAGAAGACCATGTAAGCAGCCTGCAGCGAACAGCTTCCTAAAAATCAGTATTATGCCAGGTGAGTGGAAGAAATTACTTTGAACTTCAGTCACCAGCCAACTGGAACAGCTTTGAACTAGACAGCTAGAAGAACAGTATGTCTATTTACTAAACAGTTAAGTATTATCTAAACACTTCTCTATTAATTCTAGCTTTATCTGTAGAAGACTTAAAAAGCTTACCGGTGTTGCAAGTACTTCCTATCCATTCTGGAGGACATGAACAGCGGAATGTATCTCCATCATCATAGCATGTCCCACCATTGCTACAAGTATTTGCATCACATTGGTATTCACCTATACATCACAATAAAACAGTTTTATTTTTCAATGGTCTTGCTGAATTTTAAGACTAAGTGCTTTTTAATCACAAAATTACTTTTAAAGATACTTCATATTTAAATACAACAGTATTAGAAAGGCATAGTTCCACTTGCTGTACTACAGTAAACAACCAAAAGAGTGGAATCTAAGGGTATCTCTCACAACAATATTTCACTACATGAAGGAGCATGTTTTTTAGGTGTTCCATTTTGTTGCTGGGAAACTGGAAGAGGTAATGAAAATACCCCTATTATTTCAAGGCAATTGTTTTATTTTAAATTTCAGGAACTCTAATCTCATGAGAAGGAAGAAAAAATCTTTGGGTAAACTAAAGATCAAAGTAAAGAACACTTACGTGAATGGCAAGTTTTGCCTTTCCAGTCATTCTTACACTCACAATAGAAGTCATTTACCAAATCAATGCATCGGCCACCGTTGTGACATGGGTTAGGAGAACAGTCATTGAAATCTAGGAAAAGTATTATTCAAATTAGATAATCTAGCCTAGCCAAGGCCATAAGGAAGTATAAAACACTTCATAAAAGAAGTAAATTGTGTGCTATTTAGTAAGACAGCATTTCTGTTTTTTATTTCTCTTTATATAAGTAAGGAAAAAACTCTGATTTAATACAGAACATGAATTATGATTTTCTGACAGCTTAAGAGAAAAAAAAATAATTCAGTATGGCTTCTAAGTAGAGCATCAAAGTAGCTTCATTTTTCCAGCAAACAGCGGTATTCTAAACTTCAGAGAAAACTTCCTAGTAGGGACCATGATGTCCTGAAAAGGAAGCCCAATCCAGGACATCCACATGAGACAGTTAAGGCTCCCTCTCCTGCTTCATGTCTCAAATACAGTGTGTTAAAGCCATTAGATGGCTTAACCATGTATATGCATACATATATATACACATGTGTGTATACACACATTAAACATATACATACATGAGTTTCTTTACATTCTTTTCACTTGAGACAGACATTTTAATAAGAAGAATGTAATTATTCCATAGAGCTGCCAAAAGCTGTTCAGTCTATTTTGCATCTCAATTGGCACATGTCCTGTAATAAGTCTTAGCAAGTCCTTGCTGTCACATTTTAGAAGGGGCTTCATTCAGAGTAGAAAAAGAACCAACTGCAGTTTCCTCTGAGGTAACTTAACCACGAACTGACCTAGTACACTACTTTGTCAACTAAGGCCCAATACGTCTCAAGGCAGAGTAGCAAGAATAAAGGCCTGCTTTCACTGGACCCAGACTACAAAACAGACTCATGATATTCACTGAGTAAAAATTCAGGCTTCAGCAGTTCTTTTCTTACTAAAGGAATAGATATTAAATTTATAAACTCCTTCAGTAAGGTGGAAGCACATTATAGTTTGCACTGGCTTAAAGCTAAAAAGCTTTTCAAGTTTGGAAACTACTGTGTATGAGTAGATTGGGTAAGTGACAAACTTTTATGTACTGTAATTACTAAGAAGTACATATGCTTATAGCAATAAAAGCAATATAATGAGCAGACCCACTAACAGGGTATATTCACTTTTGCCTCTCCTCAGGAAAAAAAATAAGTTTTCTCCTCCTGAGACATATCCTGTATGATAGGAAAGAATCAGATTATGGTCCTATTAAAGGTAATGAGCCTTTTGGAGCTGCCACCCAAAAATCTTCTTGGAGATACTTTTGCAGACAACACTGGGTAGACTGACTGTAGTTACAGAACAGAGAAACTACTCCATTATTATTAACCGTGTACCAGCTATCAGTAATTGTTACAGCAAAGCTGTAATATTTGACCCTGCAGCCCTCAGCAGTACTCACTTGTGTCACATAGTTCTCCTTCCCAGCCACTTGAGCAGAAACATCTAAATGAATCAACTTCATCGATGCATGTCCCACCATTCTTGCAGGGTTTCCCAAGACAATCATTGATATCTATGATAAAAGGTCAACAGTTATTACTCAATGCTGTCTTCCCCTACCTGGGGGGATCTATACTTGTGTCTCTAGGAAAAGCAACACAAAGTTATACTCCATTTGTACATAAACAAGAACAGCTCCAACATCTGTTTTCTAGCCTGATAAGGTTTCTCTGTGTATTCTCTCTCATGTAGCAAGCTAAACCAGAACATGAAGTTTACCTGGCAAAAATAGCCAGGCATTCAGAAAAAAAATATCTGCAATAGCAACATACATGCTCCTACGCTGTGCTGTCAACATGTCTGGCCCTTCTTTATCATCCCCATGTTGGAGAAATCCATGGCTCCTTGTAAGACTGTATGTAAAGGTAGAGGGTAGAGGGTACAGACACATTCACACTGACGCTGGACTGAAACCAGCTTTCTTTCAAAGAGAAAGTATGAACCAGTACAAAGAGAACTGTGACCAGAAGAAACTGGATTTTGAGTAGTACACCTGAAACAATGCTCTATGCAACTTTATTAAAAATGTTGGGTTTTCTATTTTTTAAATGCCTCCCTGGAGGTATTTAAAAAACATAGATGTAGCAGTTAGGGACATGGTTTAGTGGGACTTGGCAGTATAAGGTTGGATTCAATGATCTTAAAGGGTCTTTTCCAACCTAAACGATTCTATGATTTTAGGTCGTAAAGCTTCATAACAAAACTTTAAGGAAGTTTTAGAGTAACAAAATAATTTAGAAGAAACTCCCACTTACTTTCGTGACAGTATATTCCAGTAAAACCTCTTTCACAGGCACAAGTAAAATTTCCTCCTGGCTGACTAATACACCGTCCATGAGGCCCACAAACGTTAGATGAAATGAAACGGATTCCTTCTTGGGTAGCATTAGTGAAGACTTCTATTGTACAGCTGTCTATTACTAAAAATGAAGAAGTATATCATCAGACTAATAATCTGCATCACCAATCAGTTTTTAGTTTTAAAAAAGTTACCTGAACATTAAGACTAATCACAATTTAGAAGTCATGTTAACTATAATTTACCCTCCACCCCTTTATAAATAAGGATTGTTACAAGGATTACTTTTCACTGCCTCACTATTTCACAAAGTCCAAGCGAGTAAAATAAAAATGTTTCTGCATTATGCTATTCCCCAAAATGCTACTTTTCTTTTTTAATGTATCACCAATACATTAAGATTAAGTTTCTAGACAACATCAGGTACCTTTACAAGAATTGTTCTTGCAGTGGTCCTTGAGATGAGAACAATTCTTTCCGTCATAGTCATCAGGACAGGCACAGTAATAATCTCCTCCCAGATCATAGCATTTAGCCCCATTCTGGCAAGGGTTAGGTTCACAAAAATCAATATCCATCTGTAAGAGAGACCACAGTTAGCAGCAGCTGCTTCATTTCCCAGCAGTAAGTAGCATTATCTGTGTTGCCAAAGACAGACTAAGCTAATTTACAAGGAACCTCAAGTTTTAAGAAGGGTTATGAATCATATTTATTGCATTCCATCCTGCAACGCAGAAAGAAACTTCAGGTTACTTTTGTCAATGCTAACAAAGCATTTCTGATACAGCTAAAAAGATACTCATTTGCAGGAGGCTGAATAAGCACATTTACAATAACTTGAGTTAGGAAAAAACAAGCCATTAAGAAACATCTTATTGTAATTATTCTGGATCATTATAATTCACTTCTTCACACCCACACACTAAGTGCTATAATGCAAGTTGCACTTGCCAACTTTGTGCCTGCAAGACACTTAAAATACACAGAACATTAAAAAAATTCCTGTTCTCTAGAGCCACTTCTCTTCCCATCTCAATTAACACAGAATTTGTTGCAAAACCACATAGCTTGGAAGGGACCACTGGAGGTCAGCTACTCCCACCTGCTCAAAGTAGGTCTAGTTAGACCAAGCTGCTCAGGGCCTTATTCTTACAAATGCTACCACCATGCCAATTTCCACACAGAAACACTAGGAACATTTTGAGTACTTCTTGCCATCTGATTCAAAAAGCAAAATTTAAACCTAGCTTTCATAAAAACCCCTAGCTTTTCCCTTCACACAGACAAATTATTGCAGCAAGGCAATTCTGCTTCTGCTATATCTTACACAGACACAGCAGACCACCAACAGGTGATGCCCTAAATTGGCCTCAAAATCCACAAAGCAGCCTCAAAAGGGATATTGTTACATCACAGTATCTTTCCTCCAAATTATTATTCTTAAGGATTGCTTTCCTCCTGCCCGAAGTGAGTTCTTCCATCTTCATGGCTCTCTTGTGAGAAGGACAGCTTTCTGAACCTTACAGACATAAAATTAAGTCCTATACTGGATTTGGTCACTATTTTTAGTAGTTCTGTAGCTAAACAGGAGAAAAATTCAAAGCTAACCAGAACAGAAGGAACAGAAATGGTGTTAAGTATTTAATTCAGAGGAGTGCATACAATTCCAGCTGCAATGGAGAGATTTTCAGCAAGCTCCTTCACAGTCTCATATGGAACATTCAAAGCAACCTAAAAAAACAGCTATGGTCTGACAAAGATTCTCAGATCTCCTCTATCAGATGTCTCCATTTGTTTCCTTCCATTAGTGTAAATTTCCCCTTCCCAATGCAAGTTCAGTAGCTGGTACTTTAGCATCTGGAATCAATGGTAGATATTTCCTGCAACACACAAGGCAAGCAGCCAACTCCCCCCTATTATTCAAACAGATTTCCTAAAACTTTAATTACACAGTACGGTATTAATCAGCCAAGAGTAGAGCACTCAAGCTATGATCATTATGTAGAAGTGGTACATGAGCACCAGTTTTATTAGACTGGTCAGTGTCTGCAACCTTTTTAAATTTTGAATAAAAGGAGGGCATTGTTTCTTTAATAATGCAAATAATACAGAATAAAATTACTTCAGCATTTAAAAGAGATGACTCCAATGTACTCCTCAAAAAATTCTGGAGCAAATCCAACAAAATTCTAATACAATGCCTCCAGTTGACAGTGTCTTCCTAACTATTAACACTTAAATAAATTTGGCTATCAGCAAAAGCCAGAAAGTACATAATTAGGGCAATATAATTTTACATTGAAAAGTCTAATGTCCTCCCTAGGAAGAGGTAGATCTTCATCATCATGAAGTACTCTATCAATTATCACTAGCACGTCAGTATTTCAGTTCTGAATCCTTATTTAAGCACTAGAACTACATGTTCCTAAAATGATCTTAAACAGAAAGTTCTGAGAGTCAACACTTGCATACCTGCCTGCCTTTAATTATGGGGATATTCCTACCAGCAGCAGCAGGATTACTTGAAAGGTAACTCAGTTATGTACTTCAGAGTTACTAGGATGAAGACCTAAAAACATTCTAGTGTAACAAAAGGACACTGGTCCTGAAAATTGCAAAGGAAAACATTTCAAGCTTAAGGAATACCTGCAGCCTTAAAACATTTAGGATAGCCAACACCTGTGTGCAACAACTTGCAGTTTATCAGGCTGCAAATTCAAGTGTTACAACTACTGACAGCACTGCACAACAAACTTGCTTATTCAGAGTGTCAAGTAACAGCTACGTTGGTCAGTAATGCTTTAGCCTTGGATTACTCCCATTTAAACCCAGATATATGTTTCTTTCAAGAATTCAATCCATGAGAAGTATTGCAGTAATGTCACCACTGCCCTCACCTCACAGAAGACTCCTGAGAAGCCCTGTGAACACAGACAACTGAATCCATTCACCAGGTCTTTGCAACGGCCTCCATTTTGGCATGGATTGCTTTCACACTCATTTGTTTCCATCTCACAGTTTTTTCCTGTGAAACCACGAGGGCATAAGCAATGGTAACCATTCACTTCATCCTTCAGAGGGGAAAAAAAAAAAAAGCAGAAGTAGAAAGATTTGTATATGGATAAAACCTGCACACAGAAACTCAAAGTATTTCTATATTCTGCATTTGTGAACAGCAGTAGCACTACATAATTATTTTGTGAAATGTCCAAGAGTCTAAGTGCAACACTACACTTTCAATATTTAACCAACCTGTAACTGCAAACTACAGAACTCATAAATAGCCAGAAAAAGATTTATTTTCAACATGGTATGTAATAAACAAGAATTACCTTACAAGTCCCTCCATGTTGACATTGTCCATGACAGTCATTAATATCTATGGATAAAATATGCAAGGCATTAGAATTTATACTTGAAGACTAAGTTGTAAAGTACAGGTCTAGCATAAAAATGCAAATCAAATTATTTTCAGATACGATTTATCTAAGATGTTTCAAAGGAAAGCAAGGATATTTGATGTCTTAAGAGACTCTTATTTTAAAGACTATGTCATAGAAAATTACATATTTCTATTACAATGTAACATAAATTATATCAAATGCTATCAGCTACTTTAATATCTAATATTTTAGCTAAAAAGTTTTAAAATTTAATAAATACATGATATTCAGAATCAGGGATGAGTGAGTAGTGAGAGATTTATTACTGTTATGTAAGTGTGTATCTAAGCTTATTTCAATACCAGTTACAACTCTAAATAGATTTTCAAGCAGTATTTTCAATTTATATTGCTGGAAGTTAGGAAAACCTTGACAACAGGTATTTTCTCTTATACAAGTATGTATACTATCATTCATCATAAAAACCTTTTTTAAAGAATAGAGCATCCTATGGTTAACATATATACTAAAGAAATACTAACTGATATGACAATTTACTCCTGTCCATCCTGGAATGCAGTCACAGTAATATCCACCAATGAGATTTTTGCAAGAGTAAGCATTAACACAGGGTTTCCCCTCACACTCATTAGCATCTGTGAAAGAAGATAAGAGAAAGAAGAGAATAAAGAACAAACCCAGAAACAGATTACCATAGCACCAAGCAAAGTTTCCATGCAATTCAAGCATCAGAAGCTCATATTATACATTGGTAGGGCACTAAAACAATTTACACACTTTTAATGCACACTTGTATATAGTAGCACATGCGAGTTATCTTACTTTTCCCTTTGCCAAAATTCAAAACTGTAATATGTTAGTCATGGCACATCCCTGCCTTGCCTCCATAAGCTTACAGTCACTGTTCTGCCACCATAAAGAAGGAGCTACCATCACCAATGCTGTACTTTGAAACAGAAAAGTTATCGGGCATTCCAGAAGAACTACTGTAAGTAAGCTTAAGTTGGGGCTTAAATAGTGACAGGTTCACGTGAAACTTCTGGCTTTAAGATCCACTGAAGAAGAGCTAAGATACCAATAGCAACCCACATCTTCAGTGTTTTCTTCAATAAAAATCATGCCAGAAACACATTTACACAGCTGGAATAGTCTCCAGTGGTCTTCAAAACTTTAGAAGGTAATTACTTACCAAGCTGACATGTTGCTCCAATCCACTGTTGTGGACATATACACTCAAATGAATTAACACCATCAATACAGGTCCCTCCTTGAGCACAAGGGTTAGATGCACATTCGTCAACATCTGGAAAGTCAAAGTGTGCCTTCCATTACATGGTTTAAAGTTTGGCTTAACCTGTGGGGTGGTCTGTTGGTTTTTTTGGTTTTTTTTTCTAAAGTTATTTTGAGATGAAGGGGGAGAATGTACAAATAAACTTAGGAATAGACTAACTTTTCTAACCTAATTTCCACTTAGGCTTTTCTCACATCCTTGAGATAGAAGATTTCAGAGTTCCCTTCTCCCCTATCTGCAAACACCAAGATGATTCAGTTAATCTGCCTATGATTAACGCATTAATTGAAAGTCATGTTCCTAGATCATGACACAAGTTTAGCCAATATTTCTTTTAAGGATAGTTGCTGATGAAAAATGGATAAAAATCATGTACTCCAAATCTCAGGCAACATGCAAACCAATTACATAAGTCTGTGATACATTTCAACTACTTCTGTCTTCCAAATCATACACTTAAGCATTTGAATAATCTACTCTTCTGCCACTTTAAGAAGGGGAGAACCTTTCACGTTCACATTCACATCTCTTAAAACAAACACATTCTACATTTTTCTTTAGGCCAGCTAAAGAGTCAGACATTGTCCTACAAGCTTCGGCAACAGGGCATTTCTTTGGACATGGTCCAGCTGTGCTCTTGACAACCTGTAGATCTCAATTGCATGAAATAGATACTGCTGGCAGCACAGTACCATTAATCATTTCGGAGGCTCCTAACACGTAGCTGTTAAAAGACAGGTAAGGCAAAAGACTACCACCAAACTCCACACCCACAGAGCACAATTATCAAGTAAGCTACATCAATCCTTCCAACCCAATGGGTTAGTCATCAGTAAATGCACACTCACCAATAGCACATGTTGGTCCACTCCACCCTGATGGGCAGTGACACTTGAAGCCTGATGAAATCTCATGACAAATTCCACCATTAGCACAGGGATTAGATACACAAGCATGCTCCGCTGGGAAGAAAGAGGGAAAGAAACTCTTGCTAAATACTCTTCCAATATCAATTAAGGAGAACTTACATGCTTAGAAATTGCATCCTGATTAAAAGTGATCAAAAGCATGATCTTGGAGAGGTGCCTGTACAAGTTTGGAGCCTCCCTCTCCCAGCTGCATAAACTAAGATTCCCAATAGGAGACTGAAGTAGGATTTTACTGAAGGTGCATCATCCTTTGTATCTACTGACTAGAAAGTCTGAAGGTAGACAGGTTGCTTACATCTTAACATCCCAGGAGCAAGAGAAATTTCCCATTAGCTTACTGCTTCCAGCCATGCACTTCCACCTCCACAGTGCTCCAGCACTTTTTTTTTTTCCTCTTTAGTGAGACAAAACAGATCTGCTGTATGCAGAGGTCTGAACTGTAGTAGTAGTTTAAGTATCAAAGGTCTGCTTAACTTCATTCTAATACTGTTCCTTGGAAACAGCAAAGGATAGAGCTACTTGCAACTATAGGTAGCACTGCTTGTTGTCACTCCATGTAGGGCTGTAACACTTGCAGCAGCTGCACTAAGCAACAACCAAGTTGAGGACGGACAAGCTGTATGACATCACTTTTGATTATTTCCCCCTCTCAGAAGCCAAGGAAACTTTTGGAAATAAAACAATGGCCTTACTAGGTAAGGCTTTCTAATTGCTGCTAGCATTTATATTTCAGAATCTTTCTTTCAGGGATGTTATCTGGTTTGCAAACTGAATTTATACTGTCTATAATGTTTGGTACTGGTACCTAGAGCAGCTCATATACCAATCTACTGCCAATAATCAGTATAGAACTCATCAAACGTATGGCTCCCTTTATCAATGCCTCCTCATCTGGAGAGCCAAGATGCTTCCTTGGGGCAAGCTAAGACAAGATTTCATCCATTTCAGCCAAAACTCTGCATCACATTCTACCAGCTGAAGCAAAATTCAAGTTTTGATAGTATCATTAATACCACACAGTACTTCATAGAAAGTTCAAAGATTATCTACATCCTGATAAGCATGAAACCTTTCTGCTGATAGTAGTTTAGTGAACTAAAGGCCAAACAGTTACATGAAAGAAAAAAAAAAAAAAAAAAAAAAGGTTATTTTATCCATTTTTCCATCTATACTTGTAACTCTCAAGGAACAGTAAAATTCAGAGAAAGAAGACTGGGAGTATTGTATTTTTAAAAAGGATTTAATAATCCATCATGGCAGAGAAAGTCACTGCAGATCACCCAACTGAATATTACAGGTGCAAAAGTCGAACTGAAAGTTTTTTGTTTTCTCCAAACATCAAATCTTTAAAGCAAAATAGGGAATTTTAAAGCAAGATAGGAAAGAAATAGAAATTGCACACTTGCTGCTTTATCTCCAGCAACAGTACAGTCAGGAGAAGTCTCCAAATACCAAAACAGTCTACATGAAAATTTTGGTCTTTGTGTAACACATACACAGATATATACATACATATGCATGAAAAAAGCAATATGCTATCTTTGTAGTGCGGTTGAGATAGGAAGCAGTTTTTCAATTTGGACAGACACAGATCTGTTAGACTCTAGTCCAGAATTCACACTTCATCAGAAATGTGGTTTAAATTCTTTCCTCCATTTTGGCAATGGGAGCAGGGAAGGCACTTACTGTATTTAGACTGCTCAAGGTGACTCTGTAGGAGAGCTTTAGCACATTTCCATAGTAGTTAAGATCTGCATTAGTAACCCAAATGTATCCAGAATCTCATACTAAAAGATTATTTTAAAAATCAATTTTCAGTTGATCAAGAAAGACACACAATGCATTTAAGCAGCTAAAAATTGGGCCAAACCCCCACACCACAGTTAAAACTGAAGTGTCCATCACTACCACCTTCTTTAGTCACCAGCTTGTTTAAGATACATGTTTGCAAGCAAGCTAAAAGACAAAAATGGGTAGTAGGGAGAAAGGTAACAGGGAAAGGTCCACCTGTAATAAGCCATTTCCATGGGACTACAGCCCAGTTGCATGTGTGGATTAAGGAAGTAATGAAATCAAAGGGAAGAAATATTTTCAGTCTTATCTAAATCCAAGGGAAACTGCTGCAGCATTTCTGTTGGCTTCAGTGGTTTTTTGAATAGCAAGCCTAAGGCACTAGACAGGAGAGACAGAACTGGCACATCCCCACTGTCACACAAAGTAATTATCAAGTTGGAAGAACAAGTAGCACACCGTCAATTTTCATACTTCCCCGCTCAGAAATCAAGCTAGCTTTTGGAAATGAGAAAATAGCCCCTCCACTCTACAAAATAAAAACTGCAACAATGAGCATATAAAAATGCCAATTGGTTAATTAGAACATTAAATGCCTAAAAGAGTTTTGAATTTCTGAAAATACATGTAATATCCAGAAGTACCAATTTCGCAGTTCTTTCCAGAGTAGCCATCTGGGCAAGCACAGCGATATTCATCTGGTTCAGTATTCATACAGGTTCCACCGTTCAGGCAGGGATGGTGATTTCCACAGTAATTCAGATCTGGACAGAGAAAAGTGTCAATCAAGAAGGAACACAAATCTCATCATTTTAATCCCTAGTCAGAAATACAGACGCCTTTCTGGTTTGAACATCATTCACCTACATCATCCCCACATCCATCAGCTATCCTGTCATCTCATTACTATGCACAGAACAGGGAAGGATAAGCAAGAGACAACTGCGCGAGTTAGAAGAGTCAGGACAATTCCAAGCCTTTTGCCTTAAACTTCCTATACTTATGATGTTTAAAGACCACCTGCCATAAAAAAATTAGGCACAGAAATACTCAGGGAGTTGCACACTAGTAGGAAAAAAAAAAAGGTTAATGAGTTATCAGTTAATCATGCAACTTTACTTATTTTTTCCTGTACATTAATGTTAAGTACCTTTGTTACAGAGCAGGCCACCCCAGTTGGTTTCACAATTACACTGCCATGGTTCATTACAGCTCCCATGAGCACAGCCTGGGTAGCGGACACACTCATCACAGAACTGTCCTTGCCAACCATAATGACACCTAAGATGTAAGTTCACATGTTAAAAGTTAGCAACATGATGCTTAATTATCAGCATTACAGGTATTTAGAACACTACACTTACCATTCTCAAGAACAAGGTCAATTGTTCAATGTACAACAGATAACAAAACTTTATTTCTCCTGCTTAGAAGGTACATCCTAGTCCTGTTGAACATCCCACTAGAACTCATCTTTATCAACCATATTACACACCATGGCAACAAACACCATCAAGCACTAGGCATTATAAGAACCGTACATCACTTTCACAAGAAGTCCCATCTTCACATAGCCATCTTGTACTAGGATAAAAATTCATTGGTGTAAAAAAAAAAAAAATATTGAAATTACTTTTCAAAATGTCAAAAGGAGACTGATGGCTTACTGCATCAAGTACCATAGCTTTTATTCTATGAAGATAGCTTTCAAGATATTAACTAGTTTGCTCTGGAGTGCTACAGTTTTGAAAGACCAGGGCAGCCAGAGAAGCAGTTGTCTTCTCAATTTTCTCAGGACTTAGTTTCAAGAGAAACCTTTTTACAGATTTATCAAGTTATATCCTCAGTCATTTCTAGTGACATTAATAAAAAAGTGCTCTTTGGAGAAAAGAGAAGAGAGAACAGAAACAGAAGTCATTAATAATTCATTTATTTTAAACAAGGTTGAAATTTTGTCACAAGATTTCTTCAGAAACCCATATCTTTATGTTATCTGTAACAGAATTCTGCTAACAAAAGCAACTGTTTATGCTACAGGAAAAGTGTTAAAGCCTGAACTTATAAACAAACAAAAAAAAGGAAAAAAGAAAAAGGACATAGGCAAATGCTTGCCTTTTTTTTTTTTAAAGACTTGTATTTCACACACATTTTAATAAAAATAAATAGTAAGGTTGTTCTTTTGGGCCAAAAAAAAAAATGATCTGCCTGTTATTTTAAGAGTATTTCTTATAAACAATTTAAGAGCCATGCTAGCAACAGAGAGATACATAAAACCAGACTGAATAGGAGTTGGGCACATGCATGCCAGCAGAGCCCTAATGCCTGAGGGGAAAAAAGCATTAGAAAGGAAACTACTTCTTTAGATTTAACACTACCATTCTATTATCAACATGATTTGAATACCATAAAAGGACAGAAAATAAATTCTTAAGTCTTTGGGGTGTAGTGAGGGAAGACAGGAAGAGAAATATAAACGAGGAGTATTGGTGCCTTGTGAGTCAATCCACTTCCACCATTTCAGTAAGCTGTAGCAATCCCCAGAGGAACAGAACAGGTTATGCTGGCAGCATAGTATTTAAATTTACACTATTTACATAGAAGGAATCTAGATGCAGATCTTTGCAAGATTATTTATTTATTTATTAGATAAAGTTCTGGAACTACTTTGAGTTCTTAGTCCTCCTATCTGTTCCTCATTCAAAAGCTCATGGTTGCAGAATCCCCAAGGAGAGCCTCAGGTGTGTACCTAGTCCAGAGGCCTCCAATCGCTCATCTGAGCGGGCCTGGAGAACATCGGTATTTCAGAAGCAGCTTGCTTTTGCTGTACTAGCAGTAAGAGGAAACAAATACTGCTCCTGCTAAATTTGATCTCTTCCTTCCTCCTCAAGGACAGAAAAATCTTTGCAGGGGTTGGTAATAAACAATAAAAAAGCACTGTAACTCGCTTTACTGGCGCCAACCCAAATCTCCATCCATGCCAAACCTGGCAGTACTGCCAGTGATTCACCATGACTATCCCAGCCAGAGCCAACTCCCCCACCCACATATAACAAGCATTTTCAAGGGCTGAAAGTCTGTATCACAAAGCAAATAATCACAATAACTCAATTTGTTTTCCATACCCAATGGATAACAAGTTTCTTTGTTTAACACTGCACTGGTGATTAAGAGTGCAAAGAAAAATATGGTCACCTTCTTCAAACTTGAAGGCATCTTAAGCACCTACTTGAATTCATAGGTATGCTTCATTGCATTAAAATTAGTTCAGCAGAAGAGTTGCTGCTTTTTCATGATATCCAACACAGACTGACTGTTATTACTACCAAGACCAAGGGAAATAATTTCTAGAGGCTAAAAGCAGTCCAAAGGAACACAGTGTTTACAAGTCAAAAGGTTACTATGTGGTAAGCTGATCAGCCTTCAGTTTACAAGGAAGAGTAAATTAGGATTTCCTCTTGAATAGGAAGTCTGCTCCCATCCTACATTAGCAGGTGCTAGAGCAGCTTTAATCCCACTTCCTTCTAAAAAGATAATGTTTACACAGATCTCGGCTCACTCCTAGAGCAAGATGGGATCAATAAAGTGAAATCAATTCAGAAATAGGCCCATTGTCATTTATGAGAAAAATATCAAGCCAAAACACAAGGATGAAAAAAGGTTAATGATCCACTATGAGAAGCCCTAAAGATACAGATACAAAAGCAACATCATTTATTTTTAAAAAAGGAAACAAACCTCCATACACACACTACAATTCCTTTTCAACTAACTCAAGTAATAACCACTTGTGTAAAAGTCAAAAGGAAACTGTTAATGTTGTTACTGGTGGGCTAAAGTTACTTCTTCCCTGCCCCCTTTGTTGGAAGTTTCTGCAATCCTAAATTTTTCACATCTGAATAAGAAAGCCAAATTTAGAGAATTCATAAGGATTCCCATTGTCCAACGGACAAAGAAAATTCTTATTGGAATCAAGATTCTACTTCCTTTGTCCTTCCCCTCTGCTGACTTCATCAGCTCTAACTCGTCTTTACAACCAAACACATGCAAAGCAAAATCAGAGATGGCTTAATCTTAGCCCTCGCTGGGTTATTAGCAGTACAAAAGAAGCTACCATAAATAGATTGTTACAGTTTAGTAACTTCCTGATGGAAGGTTTAAGTACAGGCATCTGCTCCCAGACCAAAGTGTCCCTTCAGGTCAGGATTAACACAGAGAGAGCGCAATAGGAGTAGGAGAACAAGTGATAGTTATCTTAATACCAAGAACTTGCAGAAAAGATCCTGATAATTCTATAGGCATGTATCACAGCTTCCATTTTCCTTATATGAGAGTCTGGTGGCAATACAAATTGAGAATTTAAATAGAAGGTTGGAGGAAGGGGAGGTGACAGGAGTTAACATTAGCAAAAGCTCCTAGATAACATTTCAGTCTTGAGATTAGAGAAACTGCAACTGTGCAGGAAAAATACTGTTGTCATTGACAAGCAGATAAAGCCACAATAATTCAACTCATAGTGTATACTTGGTTACAATAAGCAAGTAGGGCTTCAAACAGCTGAATTCCAAGACAAGGAAGAAAGACCTCATACAGTAAATCTCAATGTGTTTAAAGTAGTAAATTCAGTATCAAGGAATCCTACAGAAGCATCCATCATTGCACACAGTTCAAAGATACCTATGTACTCAGAGGCAGAAGCAGGGGGGGAGTAGGGAAAAGAAAGAAATAGCTTTGGCTGGGGTTTTTTGGTGCTGTTTTGTTTGTTTGGGTTGTTGTTTTGGTTTGGGTTTTTTTTGGCATGTCCTGGAGCTCTTAAAAAAGCTAAAACAGTCAAGTTCAATATCATGGAGACTTTCCTACAGAATTATGCTTTCCCTAAACAACTATAATTAACAAAAAGCTGATACTCGTCTTTGCTTTCCCGAGGATGTTTGTGTTCTAATTATTCAGTGAAAGGCAGGTTTAAATGGAGCACTTCTGAATCAGATGGCACAAGGCGTTTCAAAAGATCCTATGTCACTGTATGTAAACAGATACTTTATTTGTGAGTATAAGGCCCTGAGCAACCTGGTCTAACTAGACCTAGGCAGGAGGTAGGCCTTTCCAAACTCCATGATTTTATGACAAATCCTGCAATGGCAGTTATGGAAGTGATGTGGAAATACAAAGAGATGCACCTAGATCCTGATGGTCTGTAAACCATGGTCCCTCAGCATATCTTGCTTGCTTAACTTCTCCTTATCCAAAAGGAGGATGCCTGTTACAGATCAAAAAGTTAGGGTGCTCTCAACAGTCAACATTAACTCAGCTGTTTTGTACCACCTTCATACATGGTCTGTTCTGGTTATTTGAGCATCTTGAACTTTCTGTGCAGAAAGTTTGCCTGAGAAACTTTATATTGCAGGTCTCATCCAATCACTAATCTAATCTAGTTAACCTTACAAAAAGGCTTGTAATATAGGAGAATGAGAGGACACCTAAATACTGTTCTGCACCCAGCTACAGAGCTTTGTCAGCACTTAATGCACAAGCACACCTAAACCATCAAAGTGAAAGCAATCAAAACCAAACTACTTCAAGTCTAGGTCAAAATATGGGGCCTAAAAATAAATTTTAAAAATCCTAGGGAGGACATAGGCAGTGTGGTATAAGCCTTTAATCACCACAGGTTACACTTTACCGGTATCTTGCATATCCTACAAAAGCTGAAGTGAAGATTATTTGTTCCATATTTACACGTCATTTTTTAAGGAGGCTTTTTGGAGGAAGCATCTCCCACTCATATTTCAATTGGAAGCTGTGGCCAAAACACTCAACACAGGAAAACGAAGCAAAACAGTGACATTAAGAGCAGAAGCAAAATGCATCATTCAGGGGTGGGGGAGAAATAACCCTCTTAAATGGAAAACCACTAAATTTTCTAATGACGTGAACAGGATGATGTTGCATAGGCCAGAACAATAGCTTTATATTCATTATTTACTTAAAATAACTATAAGAAAGTCTGTTTAATCTTTTAAGAGATTAATTGTTGCATAGCAGGCAGCAATATGGTCTAGCTGTTAGGACATCCTATGATTCTGAACATCTAGATTCAACGTTATAGCTATGTTGCAGGTGTACTCACACCAAGATTTGTCACAGAAGCGCTTTCTCCACTTTCCTACTTTTGAAATGGGTACGATGGTTTTGTGAATAGGGAAGGAAAAGATCCTCATTAATGAACTCAAATAATTTAATTACCTGAAAGCTTGTAATCTTCTCCTCTCACCCCCAGCATTCGT